ATCTGAAGAGTCCACTTCAACGCTTGATAATTTTTTTCCCTGTTTTTTTTGGAGGGGGAGGAGGGAGTATGGCAACTATGTCTGAATATACAGTAGTTCATTCCAAATTTTGTCTTCAAGAATCTTGCTTGACCAGTTTTATCTGTTATGTGCTTTGCATGTGTTTACATACATAATCACATTTCAGCTCTTTGAAGAGTGCAATCCACAATGCAGTGAACTAAAGATCATATATTATAATTAGATGACATTTGTTAGAATTTAATATTGAATTTAAGTAAGTACTTTCTGACCTTTCTACAGTTCTGTTGCTGGAGATTTAATTTGTATACCCTTAGTTAAAATGATTACCAAAATTTTTCCAGCATCCACAAATACCAAATGTAGCAGTGTAAACGCTTTATGAATAGGAAACAATAGCAATCATTAATTGATGTAGTGTCATTGTGCCTTGAGGACTTTATGTTAACTGGTGTCATTTGTGTGCAGTACCACTACAGTTAGGTTATGTTTGGAGTAAAGGGTACAGATGCACAACATGATTTATGTGTGTGAAGTTTACCTGTGTGGGCAAAAAAGATGCACTTTTTCAGTTGTGCTTACTAGCCCCACAGCGTTCAGTTATCCTTCTGCTTTTGTGCTCTTCAGGCTAACTCGCTCTAACTTCATGCGTTTGCAAACAACATTCAGTGAATTTTTGAATGTGTGAGTTGGTCACTGAATTTTAAATGAAAGATGTGCCTTTCTGCTTCTGTAGACAGAATCAAAGAGGTTAGGATTACCACTGGCTGTTAGTAAATACCATCTTTGCTCAACCTTAAACTGTCTATGCTGTTGCCACTTTCAGTTTTAGCGTATGCAATGCAATAATTGCCATTCCAAATTTATCAACATATATAGTAATTTTTCTGTAGTTTCAGTGCAGTGGTTTTTATATCTTCTCCTGGCATGGTTTATTAGAGAAATTTCATGCAGAACTTAGTGGGTCATTTCTTCTGGGCCATCTCTAATGACAGAGCAGTAAATTTAACATACTGTCTCTGCGTGAGTAATTTTGCCTTCTAGTTGCTTGGGCCTATCTATGGCCATAGTGTTCGCTGCCCACGTAATAGGGTTCTGCAGCCAAAGATCCCTCTTCGGTTC